TATACTAACATCTCAAGGTTAATTTTACTGCCTTTAGCGAGAGCAACAGAGCAAGTAAAAGTATAAAATGCTCCTTTTATACTTGACAAATTGCCGTGATTTAGCAGTTTTCTCTCCAGTCAAAATAAAACGCGTCATTTAGCGAAACCGTGAGTTGAGGTGTGCTCGCATGTTTAATTTGCTCGTAACAACATCAAAGACAAATTATCTGAGCCGCTTACGTGTTCTGGACTGGGAGCAGTTAGACGTTATTTGGAATTTAGACTGATACTCACGAGACACTAAAGCCGATAAGCGTGACTCACTTCCTACATCTTTTGTCGGGTTGACGCCGTAAACCAGTGCTCCATTACGGATCGTACAGCTCCTTCCCCCAAACACCAGACACATTGGTAGGGGAGCGCTCACCGATCATGTTGTAGCGGCCGAGTAGGGTAGCGAGTGTAAGGGCTCGTAGACGTCAAATGCTGAGGATGGGGGTTTTGGCTCTTCGGGTCGGGGAGTCAGAGTTATTACTTCTAAAAGTTTACCCTCGAGCCCAACCAGTAGCCGCACAGTGGCGCGTAATATGGGCAGAATAACATTACCGATAAAGACAAGGGAGACTGAAATGGCCACTTCTGACTTTTTAGCAGTTATCGGCCAGTCATACGCAACCCCGAAGTATGAAAAACCTGAGAATCAATCCCGCGACCCGCTGGTCGAAGTTCAACGTCTCTAACCACTGAGCCACGGGATCGTCGTCCTGTCGGTTGCGATCAGAAATATACAATAGTAAGTGTGGAAGGGAGGTGCTCACCGGTCTCGCTACAGAACTCACTCATTCAGTTGTCCTTTAGGGCTCCCTCTCGAGCCCAACCAGCAGTCGTACAGCGGCGCATGATATAGGCAGAATATTATTACCGACAAAGACAGGAGAGACTGGAATGGCCATTTCTGACTTCGTCAGCCAGTTATATCCACACAAATTAAAACGGTTGATAGATCCGTCAGCCATTGGAGATAATCTGTTGTCAGCGACTTTGACAGAATGCTGACAGTGTCATTTTTGAGGTTATAGGTCACGAAAAGTTTTTTTGTAAATTTGACAAAGCATGTTGTACGTTCTGTCGTAGGCAGATTGCAGTGGCGCTGTGCGTCCAGCTAGGGAGCAATTAGGGAATGTTTCCCGAAGTCCCAAGAGGCAACGCACGGGCATTGCACATGGCATTGCAAGGTCGTTCTTCAGGAATACCGAAATCAAAAACTTGAAAAATGTTTGAAAGAAAATGTACCCGGGGAAATTCTTAAGGAGATTCCGAAGAAAAGTCCTACTGCGGTGGAAGCAATGCTGACTTTGAGACCTGTAGGGATAAACAGTGTCGCTAGACGAAGAGTGTTGGCCTATCAGGTGGATTCAGTTTGCGCCTAAAAGTCGTCTTTATCTGGCGATAGTGTCGTTTAAGAAGTGTATTTGCTAGTAGTTAGTATGGCACTGTTCGAATTCGTTTGGTTTCAAGAAATAAAACAAACTATAAGAATAAGGTGGGCTCATATTGACAACCAGACACAATTTTATAGTCACAAATATTCCAAAAGAGGATAGCCTCTGGGCCAAAAAGATTTGTCATGGAATTCATCTTTAGAGGCTAAGACGGAGACAGGAGCAGCAACGACCCATCGGATGGGTAAATTAATGTAGGACAGCGGGTCGCGATTGAGGTCTTTATTGGCAGAAAACTAACTATCGCCAGAACTTGTCACAAATCAATGACCTGAACGCTCGTACAACCGTCAATTAATCAATGATTTCTTAATAGTTTACTGAAAATTATTCCGAGGAGGCTACACTTTGAATACTTGCCAATGGTCACATCTAAGGCTTTATTGATGGCTTACATCTTCTAAGTACCAACTTCTATAGGCATCTCGTCCACAAACAAATATGAATCTAATAAATCGCTCATTGTTTCACATCTCCCGGTGTCCCCCACCATTGGGAGTTATTGGTTCACCAGAGGATCGTTAGATACATGAAGTAACTTCGACATTTAAACTTCTGATATTGTATCTCGCGGAATGATCTGCACAAAGGTTTGCATATGTTTTTCCGAACAACTCAGTCGTCCCCAATTAAGGTGGTCTTCACCGAAAAGAAGAACTGGGATTGCTGGCAAGTTTGCAAATGTGAAAAGCGGGCAACCGCCGAATACGACTCAGAGTTACGTACTCTTTTAGAAACGTGCAGGTGTCTGTACTCAAAATAGTGAAAGAACAAACTAGTTATGTTGCAGCTAACTGATGACTTACTTGGTGGATTATTTAGGAAATCCTGCGTTATGGTTTGGTTCTGCAGCCGCACTTTACGAATGTTATACGATTAAATAACTGAAGTATTTTTGAGTAGGAGAGATTAGGTTAAAATGGCGTCAGTGCCACTGTTAAGACGGAGTGCTCACCGACCATGCGGTCAATTTCAGAGAATGGCTAATTCAGAGAATGGCTAAACTACGTGCATCAGTAGCACTATTAAGACGTTAACGTTGACCTGCTTTTTTCAAACACCGCTCCAGTCCACATCGGTACCTTAGTCTATTCTGAAAATGTGAGGTCTTGCGTAAAAACAGTTCTTTTATCGCAATCCCAATCGTTCAGGTGAGTCCATTCCAAACTTTCTTGGGATGTGACTAATACCCATCGTGCTTGAGCAGTCAGGTTGCTACATCAGATTTGGTGGATTTCAGACGTTGCAGTAGGGTGGCTGGGTAAGTCGACCAAAAAACGACTAAACTCACGTTTCTCGGTGGGGTCTCGTAGCTCAGGTGGCCAAAGCGTTGACTGTAGTAAAGCCTTCCCCTTGCTGTCGTGGATGAAAATGTTACCAAGGCCACCGAGGTTTCGCAGACGGGTTAATATGAACTATTCAAAATCTGACAAAACATCTATTCAGTATTACTGAAACTCAATTGTACGAAGCAGATAGCACAATGATGTGAGCTGCAGTGAAAAGAATACTGTCTGATGCTTCTGAGTATTTTATTAAAAACCTTGACAAACTGAATTTGGTAATCGAACGTTATTACTAACGAAGACTATCGAGTCCCGTGCGACAAATATACCTGGCAATAGAAGCGAAGAGACGAGTCCCAGGAAGTAGTCTTGAAGGAGGAGACACGACCGCTGGGACAGGAGCTTTACTAGCCTGACGTTTTGGATTCCTGCTCGAACCCATCATCAGATAAAAAAGCTGAAGGAGACACGATAGCTGGGACAAGGGCTTTATTGGCCTGACGTTTTGGATTCCTGCACGAACCCATCATCAGAGACAAAAGCAGATACCATCTGTCTTCTTCTCAACCCAAAATTGAGATATGGCTGACTGAAGAGCCTAGGGGATACAAAACTGCTCATGTTGGTCTTCCAGTCACTATGGTTATGTAACACGGCTACTAATTGGGCATGACTGCCCAGTCATCCCCGTCCTCTGGTCTGTCGTGGTGTTTTTATGTTGGCCAAAATCCTGGTCATCTACTGTGTGAACCAGGGGGTGTGGAGTTGAGCGTCAATATGCGGACTCGCCCGCGGGTTCATCTGTGCGCATTATTTTAACTACAGACTCCAGTACGTTTCTGAAATAGTAGGCAAATCTGAGTCGTATTTCGCTCCGTCTTAACTGGTCTGTGACACTCACGCATGGGAGGTGTGTGTTTGTATAGGCTTTATGGGTAGGGCCTCTCAGTAGAAGACTGTTTGATGACGTAGCCATGAAGGGTGACTGCTCAGGTAAATGCAGAGCCACGTGCCACACTTCTGGGTCTAAAATTCTGTCAGCGTGTACTATGCCAGGATCAGAAAACCATGGCACTCGCAGTCTAACATGCGCCGGCAGTTCTCTGACACTTAATTCCTTGCCGGTAGATGCGTTTGCGCTCCCGCATTGTATACAGGTCGTGAATATGGCTGCCCAGTCATCCTCTTCCTTCGGACCCGTCGTGATGTTGTTGTTGTTAGTTAAAATCCTGGTCATCTGCCGCGTGGACCAGGGGTGCACAGTGGAACGCCAAGGTGCGGACTCGTCCACATCATCCGCCTGCGCCCTTCCCCGCTTCCGGTCTTCTTGACTCTGTCTTGACACTGGGTACAGGTGGCTAGTGGGGAGGAGAGAGTGTAGTATATGCAATGCAAGTCTACACTCATTATAAACTAATTCACGCGCAAGTAATCATGCCTGCCTCACCTGCCAACGACTAGTTGTGCATCTTTACGCGAGGACCTGTCTTATTCCTTTGCTGAGACTTCAGGTCGGAACAATAGAGCATTAGTATTTGCGCTGCCTGTTGACGAATTCTGCTCGAAACCAGTACCTCAGCGCCATGCAAATATTTGCTTTTGATTAGTACGATAAGTTTGTTTATGAGGAATTTAGTTTGATGAATATAATTCCCCATTAAGCAAACCAAACTGCCTTTCTGATATAATAAGTGTAAGTCGTTGGCAAAAATCGACTACTTGCATATGGGATTCTAACAACGGAAATCGAAGGCGCGAGGACACAAGGGCTTGGAAGCTGTGATTACCACAGGTTTGCAAATATTTATGTGTTACAGTTACTTAAGATTGCAGCAAGCAATATCTGAAATCGGTTTACGGCATCAGTTTCTCGATTTCCTCATTGTTTGCTTAGATGTGAGTTCTTCTGTTCGAAAAAGGCTTCCTCGTGGTCTTTGATTACTTGAAATTGGTTCGAACTTCAGCCCCACTTTCTACTCTGTTTTGACTTTCAGTTACATGCGATGTTCCGGATGAAATATCAAAGCCTTCGAAATGAGGTCGGCAAATTGAAGCAGGCAAGAGAAGCCCTGGTTTTACGTCGGAATACTTTGGCACGTCGGCGTAAAAAGCTTTTTAAGAAAGTAGATAGTGCATCCAACGACCTGTTATCTGCCTGCGGAAATGCTTTTTCAAGAAAGGAAGAACAATTAGGTGTGGTTCATGCTCAGATCAAGGAGAAGCTTGCTAACATGCTGGATAAGCAAATGCTGCTTAAACTGGCAGTCAATTTACTTCGGACCGTGAACGATCTTGCCGAGTACGCGGTAAGAAATTCAGCATGCAGCTGCGATAACTGTCTAAATATGCGCCTCCCACCCTCTTACAAGTATGTGTTTTGAGCATTAAGGAGGCCATGTAGCCTTCTTTGCCTGTCATAATTTGTTAAATTTAGACGAATGACACTTGCCGATCTGTCCTCTTCGCTGAATATAAACACGTTTTATCAAATCTTAGGGAGCTGTTCTGGCCTTGAACCCACAAAGGCGATTACCCTGTGACTGACCGTTGATTGGCTGTTTCCGTTTCCCTCTCCTCCTTGGTTAAGTTTTCAGATTTTTACTGGCTTGTACTTGTCTGAGTGGACGACCGACTTGCAGAACGTAGATAAAACAGAAATTCTAATTTCCATATTGCTAGCCGGAGAAGTCGGTGAACGTTCCTCCTGTATGACGTTAAATAATCCCGATCCAATTAGACAGTACATTGACCCGTGTTTGAAGGTCTTGGATGCTTCAGTCTTCTACAGAGTAACGAAATAATTTGAGATCACGTTCTAGTTTAGTTTGGCTAGCGGTGACAGATAAAGCAGAAATGATCAATTCAGCATGCTCTGTCTGTTTCGGTAACGTCTTTCGCTAAACAAGCGATAATCTTTTGGCGGTACTAACCTAAGTGGCGTAGACTAACTGCACGCAAGTCAAGCGTATCCTGCATGACAGTACAAAGCTAGGGCTTAACAGGCAGAAAAATAGTTAAGCACAAATCAACCAGATACATTGCGTGACCGATCTCATGAAATTTTGGCCGAAATTCTCAAATGTGTTTTCGATTAGGAAGGATTACTTAGGCGCGGTTGTAATACTGATTAGCAGGCAGCATAATCATATACCATTTCGGATTCAGCAGGATGTCAGCTTTTGAATGCGCTCCTTTTTGGCTTTCTGCAGAAATCGCGCTCTGCAAAAAATGACTACTTATGTAGCATACATTTTTCGTATCGATTTTCGGTGGTCTTACAAATTCAAATATATTTTATAGAAAACGTGCACAAAAATATGCCTTCTTTAACTCATTCGGTAGAAAATGATATCGTCCTTATATTTTATGCCCGAAAATGGTGTATATTTATATTTAAAAAAACGTTTTCCAATTCCCGAATAATTTGGAGCCAGATTTGCCATTGCTTTAGCGTATAGCGATTTAGTTTACAAGGTGCATGCTTTCCGCGTAAGGTAAATCATACATTCCTCAATGTCTTTAAGAAGATACCCAAGAGTTTATAAAATTTTCTAATGGATCCTGACTGTGTTGTACACTTCAAGAGAGGTCTTGGTAAACGGATATGTACGATTTTGTATATATGAGCATAGCACGGTATTGAAAATCTCATAATTGAAAACTTTTTTAAAATTTAAATATACACCATCTTCGGGCATAAAATATGAAGACAGTATCACTTTCTACCAAATGAGTTAAAGAAGGCATATTTTTATGCACGTTTTCTATAAAATATATTTGAATTTGTAAGACCACCGAAAATCGATACGAAAAATGTATGCTACATAAGTAGTCATTTTTTGCAGAGCGCGATTTCTGCAGAAGGTCAAAAAGGAGCGCATTCAAAAGCTGACATCCTGCTGAATCCGAAATAGTAAAGGATTATGCTGCCTGCTAATCAGTATTACAACCGCGCCTAAGTAATCCTTCCTAATCGAAAACACATTTGAGAATTTCGGCCAGCATTTCATGAGATCGGTCACGCACTGTATCACCAATGTACTGTTGAAAGTGGCAGAAGTGTATGAGAAGTTGGGCGAGCTGTCATATCCGGTGGTTGTGGTGGTGGTGCAGGAGAAAGCAAGTCAGGTGGGAGGTGTGGAGTTGGACCTTATAATAATTCATCTGCAATGCAACCAATGACAACCAGAGCTAGTGGACCAGGATATAAGATCTAGGTGCACACGGTTAGAATAAATGTTAGAGGGTGTGAAAGTGCCAACGGTGTCCAAAATATGTTATGCGGGTCTTCATGATGGAAGAGTTTTTGAAAGGCCCTAAATACGTTTTGCCACATAATTGAAAAAAAGAGGAGAGTTGTTTCTGTTGGATAAAGCACGGGGATACCAGGCATTGAAATAATTCCATCAACATTGAAAAGGGGAAAAAATAAAACGGCTCGGACACACCTTACTCAAATTCCTCGTTTTTGGCCGGAGCGTCAGAACAGCCGAGTTCTGGAATAGCACCTCTTGGGCACTGTCACTGGATATGTGAGACCAGGCAGGGGGCTAGAATTCTATCTTATTTCGGTGCGAGGCAGTCTCCACACGGCCGACAGTGGCTACCAGTTGGTGACCTAACATAGGAAATATGTGTAAGTTAACGAAACACAAACAAACTGGAACTAGTCCAGACGTATTTACCAAAAGAACAAACTAATAATGAACGATCTCCAGTTAAATCCTGCATTTAGAGGCAAATTGCAGCGGTTCCCTCTCCACTAAGTCTTAATGCCACTCGCAATAGCGTAAAGTCCTCATCCCCATCACAACGAGCCCTGACAAGCGTGAAGTGGTGGAACAGCAGGCGAGTGGCACGCGTAGAGAAACCGTGCAGTTTTGTCAGACACGACGCTTATTTTGAAATCAGAGTGTAGGGAGGATGAGGTGTATCTGACGAACGCCTCCCTTAGTCTAAGTAATTTTACGAGCGAATCAGCGCCGCGTCCAGTTCGGAGGACAGCGTTGGACCAAATCGTTTATTATTGGCAAACTATCAATATTTTTTTCGTTTTTGCCAGCATGTTACGCGACAAGTGTTTGTTATTACCGTCTGTAACTGATATTCTTAGAAAACCGTCAAAAAGAGGGAAATCGCACAACCCGAATATTTTTTTGAGCAGAGGAAGACAGTAGACAACTCCTCGTGACTTATTGTTGGATGTATAGCCCAAAGCTCATGGTGCCGGCGACTGTGTGCTTCGAATATTAACCTATACTCTCCCTTTCCTGACTCCTAAGGTCGGCCTACTCGATTCTAACTGACGCTTCTGAATGGAGTATTAAGCATGTCTGGATAGAGGGATGCTAACTGCGATATGCTTCCAATATACACCAGATGCTCTCTGTCATTAAATGTTAACCGCAAATCTCAAGTGCATTTTCGACTTGAAAAGATTACTTTAATAGGATTTTCGTGTTGATTGCCTTGTTGCATTATGCCGAGGTCATCGAGTCACGTCAAGATTTCGGCATTCGAACGAGATTCTTATCGGCCGCGAATCTAAGTTACATTCCGTAAAAAAGACTACTTATGTAGTATGAACTTTTACAAGTGATTCATAATGCCCTTATAAATTCAGATACATATTTTACAGGGAACATGCACAACAACGTTTTTACTTGTTTGGTAGCAAATTACGTCTGACGATGGCTAATAAGTCGGAAATGGCCTTTCCAGTCTCCCTTGTCTTTGTCGGTAGTGCTGTTCTGCCTTTATCAGGCGCCGCTGTGCGGCTGCTGGAGAGGCTCAAGAGAGAGAGAGAGAGTCCCAAGATACAATGGGACAAGTGCCGTAGTGCGATCGGTGAGCGCCTACTCTACCAAAATTAAGTTTTCTTTAGATTCTAGACTGAAAGAGAAAGTATCTTCCGGAATTTAAAGAGTCTTTTAGTGTGTTATTTTTCAAAAGCAAGAAGTATTCAATCACACATGATCGCATCAGCGCATTTAATAATGTTGCCTATAAAGTGGACAACATAATCCACATTAATTACAAAATTATATGAACCGTATCTGACCTGTTCTTAGTGGCGTATAGTGAGGCAGGACTTTCTTTACACAGAAGTCATGTCGCTTGTAGTTTAGAAACCCTGAATGCAAGCCTAACGACAGGTCGAGTTAAAGATTATACGGAAAATGAGAAGGTTTTTTAAAACCGAGATATACTCTTCCTTTAAGCATAACATTTAAAGATGTAATTTGCTACCAGTAAACATATTTTTGCACATGTTTTTGTAAGGTATATTCGAATGCATAAGTACATCGAAAATGAATCAGAAAAAATTCGAACTACATGTGTAGTCATTTTTCGCAGGATGTAGTGTATACAGAAGATCCATAAAAAGCTCGTTCGAAAACTGGCATCTTGATTTGACTTGAATATTTTCGCATCATATGACATGATAATTAATATGACAACTCTACTTAAGTAATTTTTTGAGTTGGAAAACATTTTAGAATTAACATCAACATTCCATGAAATTGCGTATCTACTGCTATTAGCAATTTTGGTAAGTAAACACATGAAAAATTAAGGGAACCGGGAAAGGCCTACTAAAACGCCGTTTTCAGTCAAACCGAAGTCATTGATCATATAATAACATCCGGTTCGTGATAAACGCAACTATTGCTCTTGTTATTTCTTGTGCGATTCATACAAGCATGCTGTAATCGTTGCCTAGACGGCGGTTTCTACGCAATCCAAGAGACGTCGACAAGTCTTAACGAGGTAGGATTGGACTTTGTCCGTTGAACATTCTCACCCAAGCAGGTTCAGATGTCTTGGCGAGGACAATGAGGAGCAGTCAGCTCAGCAATGGCGAGACTCTTTAGAGGGAACAACAGTGGATTTGGGGGATTTAGCAAAATAGCCATGGGTCCAGTGAGCAGTTATCGTTTAAAGGATTTGTTTGTCTTTTTAGAAAACGCCCTTAACTGCCTTCTTTCCTGTGCTGACATTGGTGTTTCGATCTCAACGCTTGAATCCAGTTCATTTATTCTCTGACCGACGTTTTGAGCGGACGCTTGAACGTCAGCTATTCAACTTGCTCTTTTTGCCGCATTGCCCTCTCCTAGCCCTGCACTACCAGAAAGCAATACACCTCTCAAAATGTCAGTTTGCACATAACGAAGCATTCACCTTTTCCTTGTCTCTTTTAGGACATTAAGAAGCTGTGTGAAGTTAGAGAAATGACCATAGGTGCCGCAGCAACCCTGGAGAATTTTACCATCTCATCTCCCGAAGGGGATCTTCCTACATTTGAGAATTATAGACTGGCCGAAAATTTCGAAACCGTAAGTTGCTACAAATGACTTGTGGAGGTCCACACTCTTACTCACCACCGCTTTGTACCGCTGCTTTGCTGTATGTCTCATGCCCCCTCCCCCCAATTACATTCGTTGCTGGGACCGCGAGAGGCTTGCCACAGGCCTCGCGGGAACCCGAATCCGATCAACGCCACTCCCTCGCTGATTTGATAGCGCGCACTAAGAAAGAACGTTGGCTCAAACACATGCTGGGGGACCAATAAAAACTTTCTCGATTTATGTTTTGTATTTGGAGCACATCGGGGTCACCAGCGGTCAAAGTGGTATAGCCAATAGCGCGAATGTCCCCAATTCAAAAAAACCGGGAGGATGACTTGGGTTGGATAACCTTTGCTGGGGAGAAAGTGCGTACAAAAGGCTCCGAGAGCAGTTATCGCAGGCAGTCTCTACGGGCCCGTCGTTTATCCTGTGCTCGCCGTTGAGGTTATTAGCTCTCAGCGCGTGTGTGCGCCTTCCGCTCTTTCTCAGTTAATGTTTGTCGGCCAATCAGAATGGGGCAGCATCGATTGGTTTAGAGCTCTCGCAAGGATAGCGATAGGCCTCGCGCGATCTTAGCAACGACTCGACAAGAAGTATGTGGCTAAAGAAAAACAGCGGGACAAGGCGGCAGCGATCAAGGGAGTGAGCAGCCACAATCATTACTTAGATCGTTTACTCGTTTCGCAGGTCTGACCAATTTGCTTCCACGAATGCTTGCAAAATTCACAAAGTGCTTGTGTACACTGCGTTATTCCGCAGTGATAGAATCCTCTTGGTTTCACAGAAGCATTTGTTCGTATATCTGTGAGGGTCCCAGTAGCGAAAAGGAACTATGTTTTCTTGCCCCGGCTGGCGTTCACTGACCACATATGTATTCTAACTAGAAAAATTTTGCTAGTGCATCGCTGCCTTAATTGTCCTTTAGGAACCCATGATGGTATTATTTAAAAACCACCACAGGACTAATAAACCAAAACAAAAACATACCGGTTAAATTAACTGTCTAGAGAAGTCGTGTGCAAAATATTATCACGGAAACTGAGTGACGCTCAGTGAAAATAACGGAAGTTCTTCTGAAGACGAAGACGTGATCATTGGAACAAGAAACTTATCGGCCTGACGTTTCGGGTTCTCACTCGAACCCATCATCAGAGACAGTCACTGATAAGGGAAATGGTGACACTAGGAGTGCAGTATTTTTAACACGTGGATGCCCTGGGACCATATGCGCACTGTAATTAACAGCTCTCGCAATCACCGCTGAAGTCGTAATTGATGCGATGGTGGCTTTTCGGTCCGCGTTCGAGTCGTTAATTGCCATGATTTCGTAATCTGTGTTGGATGCTGGTGTGACGATTGCTCGGCATATTGGCCCACTGTCACTGGGATAATAGCTCGCCCGCGCCCTCCCCACGTGACTGACTCCCGTTCCTAGGGAGCATCTCAGCGCAGAATACGGAAACGGGAGGTTTTTTTGCTTGTTGATGGATTGCTGGCCTGAGAACCATGACTTGAGCAGTTCACGGCTCACCTCTTGCGAGGATTTCGGCCTCTCTAGATTTAAAAATATGGCCGGGTCCCATCAAATAAGCCGCCACCCGATAGCTAGCGTCTCTCCGCCTCAGTGCTGCTGCGTGCTCAGCAATTTGCGTCCCAGTTTTTCCAGCGTAGTTGCTTTATCCGCAACTGAACCAGATCCGGTAAACGAACTCTGACGTCTCCTGTCGCTTCAGTGGGTCTTTCGGCCTCATGAATTGGCACCTGATGGTTGCTTCCAGCCCACTTTGGCCCACTTTCATGGTCCGCCAGAGCTCCACAAACGGCATGTTGTACCGCTACTAATTGCTGCCTTAAAAGGCAACCCTACGTAGAATCTGACAAAATGACCTTTCTTAAATGGGAAGTTTCTCCGACGCAATTCGGTGACCTAAGCATGGTTAGCTTCCTAATTTCTTTAAGAACTCAGGGGTTTAGATATTCTGTCGGATGAAACGGTGTGCTCTTCCGTGGTGGCGTCTTTTTTTGCATTCTTCACACCGAATCTGGCGCACAAGGTATTGCAGGTTGCATACGACGTGAAACCAGTCCTGCTCAACATTCAGCACCTCATAATTCCGTTTGGAGTTTGCAGTTTTTTCTCCTGAGCCCTCAAAACCACAAAAACCAACATCAACTATATTTTTATCCCTTAAGCTCAGGAGTTTTTTTCACTGCCGGTCGGATTTATGTTTAATCGCTCCCCTTGATAATGCCTGTAAACTGGCATTAAATAAAAATTTATTTATTTATTTAAATTCGCACATCACCTTTGCAAAAAAGACCTTTTAACAAACCAAAAAAACTGTCATGGGCCCCCAATCTCCGGTAAGCAACAACTGCATTCATCCAGCAGGAGTCAGTCTTTGGGCGCCGTTGCGTTGACGACACCTTAATTATCGGCAAGAAGAGCATGCTGTAAAATTTCCATTATCTAATCAAGCTAATCTTCCCGGATAAAAAAGGTTCACCAGAAGAGAATTAAATAAGTGGTCACTACCCTTTATTTATGTTTCCCTCAGGTGAGCTCCCAAAAACGAAAAAGGAGAATTGTTTACGGAAAATCCATAAACACTGCCAAAATCCTAGTTGCCAACGCAACAATCCGGTGTCTTACAAGGCAAACTGTGAGAACACTCAACAAACAGATCCAGCCTCATTGCAGAAACCCTGAAGAAATTGCATGCTGAGTCCCATATTTCAGTGGTCAATTTATGCCAAATGACTATCCGAAAAAAATATCTACGAGTCTGCCCTCGAAAGGCTCAGCCGACAGCACCGTAATTGATATGACACTCGGCAAAAGCCTTAAAGATGTTTTAGATGCGACCGAGCGCACTACTGCAGAACTGGGCATTGAAATTTTACGCCCACCCAAGACAACCATGACAATCGAGGACCGATTACATCTCTAAGAGCTGTTGAATGTAATGTATCGCACCCGGAGTCGCAATTGTCTTAAAGTTACTCTGGTCAAAATAAAGGCATGCCCGGAGCGCACACAAACGACGGGATGACAAATAATCATGGGTGGCTGCCTACAACATTAAAAAGGGTCATGAGTTTATCTTTAGATCCCCCAAAATAATCGCACACACCGGAAGCGAAACAAGCCGATAATTCATTAAAATCTCAGTCAGTCGATGTATTGATCTAGCGCAAGCATACGTAGTCATGCGCTGTCACCTCCAGACCTGCGCAAATGATAACTGATCGGTTAATACCATCTAAACTGTCGCTTATTCTGCTACTGCTGTTATCTCTGAAGATCGACTCCCGCAAGAGTTCGAAAACTCAGATAAGAAAAGAAAGGGCAACGGTGCTCAACCATACTTCTTCATTACGCATACGATACAATCTGGATCAATTGGGTATCAAGCCTAAAGAGGCATATTTTCCCGAGGGTACGAAAATATCTCAATGTGCTTAGTCAACTTCGAATTTAAGCCTTGCTGAAGTTTGAATAACTGTGGCTCGGTTTTCAGCGTTGATATCTCAACTGTTGCAGAGTATGATAGTCTGAGTCAGAAGAAGTCAGATGAAACTGAGGTCGGATGAAACAACAAATATGTAGGGCTTTAACCTACCCAAATAGATAGATTAGGTATTATTTCTAGGTAACGGGGTTTTTAGGTGCCATCTCCCATTTGTTACCCTGAATTCTTACTCAGCGGTGGACCATAGCTTATCGTTCACAGGTTATTCTTTGATGAGTAATCTGAGTTTGGTGAACCAAGTAATTGCTTTAGTGATCGCTTCTTTGTCCCCCTCCCCCAAGATCGACCTGTCATAACCCTCCAGTAACTTCGCGTGCAAATTGGACGTGTGCCTAAAGTAAATATTACAATAGTTTTCTCGTATATTCCTAGGTAGGTAAAAGTCAGCTTCATGAGTATTAAGTCGTACTTCAAAATACATAATCATATATGTGCAGAGAAATTAGGCAACAATATATTTTAGAGTATATAACACCCATAAAATTTAATTAATACAAAACCTTACCCCTTTTACAAGTTGAAGGCCTATCCGACGCTTCCGATTTCAACGGCAAAGCTGGGCATGCCAAAATGCTTTGCGACAAAATTTTTGACGTTAATATGAGGCAGGTGCTGTTTGATCTGATCTCCATGTTTCCCTATAGCAACGCATTTATGGTGGCCAGTTATGAAGGGACGCACTTCTTAATGTCGGATTGAGACCCCTTACTTGAATCCTCAGCATTATTGTCGAGGAATGCTGCTTTGATTTGGCCTCGATCAACTATCTTGAACGCTAGACTAGGAGTACCGAGTCTTCACCACAAGTTAATTTATTTGCAGATTTTCAAGCAGCTGAGTAATTTGCGCCTCCTTGTGGATGAGAGACCGAAAACAGCTGCGAAAGGAGCGGAAAGGGATTTACAAGGCGACTCTGAGCCCCAGATGTTCTCCGCGCCTGAGACTGCTGCCAGTCTAAAGCCGTCTGATAGGTAAGAATCACCATTAGCCAGCCTCTTTTTCCTCACTCCCTCTTTTACTTAATAACCATTATTCCAATTTATGCGCGTGTATGTATCGCTAAACCCCAGCTACGCCGAAGTCGACACTGCCTCCCACGGATTAGATAGTCGGTGTGGTATTGGCAGCATGTTCAGTTAGCAAGTAGGTGTTGTCTGATGATATAAGACCTGCAGATCTTGAAGAAGGAGACACGATCAAGACTACTTCCTGGAACTCGGCACTTCGCTTCTATTGGCACCTGCAGATCTCTTCTGATGCACATTGTGGACCGTACGTGCATTTGTGCATTTGTGTTTTACGATTCAAAAAAGGCCCCCATCATGAAATAATCTGCTGTAATTTCCCTTGGCCCGATATCCAATGCATTGGTATTCGGTGCGGGCGCACCTGCGTCCAGACAGTAGTAGTTGCCCATGCATCACTTGAATACACTATTTCCGATTAATAGAAAAACCGTCACTGACCAAGATTCCATTCAAAAAGAGAGGCAGCTGACGTTGCAGATTCTCTTCCTCAAGCATGACGTAACGCCTCGCCAGCGTACACAGCTGTTTGAGACTGCAACTATAGGTTCTGTGAGGGCTATATCCCTCATTTCGGTGTCTGCAGTCTTCTCTGAACCCCTGTTTGGTCTGTAAGTTTTGTTAACTAAAGTACTTCCTGTTTCAACCGCTGCGTGCGCAGTCCATTTTACATGCGTCAAATTGGAGATCCCACCCAGGATTTCGTCTGACAAAATCATTGATGAAGTACTACTATCGCTCTGCTTTTGTCCTCCCTCGTGAATTCCGATTCGGTAAGTGTCCACTGAGCGGATTATGGAGGATGTGTAACATAATCTTTCCAATAATGACAGATGCGACGATTACGTAACGAAGATCATCCTTATAACTCCCTTTGGGTCAGCCAGACAAAGAAGATCGCATTTTCCCCCACAGTGGAAAAATAGGGTTCTCCTACAAAACTCGTACGACTTCATTGACTGGCACTATCAATCTTCTACCGGAACTCCGTGCTTTCGAGGTAAAACAGATTATCATTCGGCCAGTTAACTCGACCCGCTAATTCATCAAAACCAGGGGGCCAACTTAACTAAACCTTCATAGATTTTGGCAGATTTTTGAAAAGTTCATATTGATCCAACTGTGAAAAACCCGGCGTCGCGGTGGATGGATGTTTTAGCAGATTTTGAATTACGTGAGCCTGTTAGTCATCTGGTGGATTCTAGGTGAATTACTTAGGAAAGCCTGCTTAGCAGTCAACATACTGTATCAGATTTGGTGGATTCCAGACGTTGTAGTAGGTTGGACGGGTAACTTTACTCAAATGTAATTAAACTCGCGTCGGCCGACGAAGCCTCGTGGCTCAGGCGGTTAGGACGTTGGCTGTACTAAAGCCTTCCCCTTACTGCGTGGGTTCGAACCCCACCGAGGAGCTGAGTTTTTCAAAGTTGTTCAATATGAACTAGAGAGAGAGAGAGAGTAAGGCTTTATTTTGAAAATAACTTTCAAAACTTTCAGCAAAAACGGTTCTCCAGTACACAGTGATTACCATAGAGATTAACAGGTATTGGACAGGTCGACATAATTATGAATGAAGGAAAAAGGACTTTAAGGTGCAAGATCGAGTTTTAGTTTTTGTTTTTCAACATCTTTGCAGGTGAGATACCGGGCTAGAAATGGCAGTATGGAATTCCGATAGGCCGAAGTGCGGCAAGGGATGTGGCGGAAGCATCGACGCATGGGGCGTAAGGATTTTGCATCCATTAACTCATTATGAAGGGGATGGACGGGGTCATTCAGAATTCGGTCAGCGAATTGCTCCACCGAGTTGAAGTGCCGCTGCATGATGATATCAACTAAAATATGATAAGAAACACCAGCAGCAGAGGCGAGCATTCGAATGACACGTTTAAAAATAATTAGATCTTTTTTAAGTAAAGCTGGAAAAATAGCTGGAGAACAATAAAGAATGAGTGGAAGAATACAGCCATCTATGAATCGCCAGATTAAGGACTGGGGTGTGTGATATGAACGTAGACGACGAATGTAATAAACAAGTTTTTGAATTTTTGTTAAAAGGGTTTTCAGATGAAGAGAAAAAGAGAGATTTGAGGATAAAGTAACACCTAGGTACCGGAAAGAAGATACCTAATTGGGAAGAATATCCAAAGGATCAGGAATGGGAGAGGGTCGCAATCGAAACACACACTGTACTGATTTCTGATTGTTGAGTAGGAGTCCATTATTCGAAGTCCATGCGGAGACGTGATCTAAGCCATCCTTTAAAGACTGCAAATGAGTCAGGTTTTTGAGTGGGTGGCCTACGACCATGTCATCGGCATACTTATCATACAGGCAAGCGTTTGGCGATCTCAAATCATCAGTATGTAGGGAGAAAAGATGAGGGGATAAGATGGAACCTTGTAGAACTCCACAATTATTTGGAAGAATAGAAGATTTTCTCTTTCCCGACTGGACAAACTGAGTGTGGGAGGAAAAATAATCTCTAAGCCAAGAGACAACCCAGCTCGGAGTGTCGCACGCAGCTGCTTTGGTCAGGAGGAGTTGGCGCGAAATGGTGTTGAAGGCGGATGAGTAGTCGAGAAAAGCACATGCATATGCACGGCATCCCTTGTCTAAGTCTCTCAAAGCGGAATGGACAACTAAAGCAACAACATCGAAGGTGCTACGCTTTGCCTTGTATGCAAATTGTAGAGGATCAGAAAAATTGACGGAGGAGTACTTAAGGGAATCTAATGCAACTCGTTCAGTAAGTTTCAGGAGTACAGAAGAGCAGGCAATAGGACGGAAAGATTTAGGAGCAAAAGTTAAAGATTTTTTAGGGATTGGAGTAATTCTTACTGTACGCCAGGCGTCAGGAATCTTGGATTCTATGAAGGATAGATTAATAAGGTGGGTCAAGACGGGAGCTATCTGCGAACAGCAAGACTTAAGGAGAAAAGGAGAGACACCATCCCGCCCAGCCGCCGTTGACCCACGAATCTTTTTGAGATGGTGTTCCACTGTTGTCTTGAAAAAAAAACTATATGTAGTATGAGTTTGCGGCAAATTTGTATAATTCATTTCACCCAGTTGCGAAAATGGCGGCGGCCTTGCCGGGATTGGAGCCTACGAAAGGAAGGACAAAGTGTGAATGCAGCCAATGTCGAAAACACGTAATACTCATTATAATTGCATTACTGGTGACAACAGGACAACTTGTGAAGACCCTTGAGCGAAAATCAAGCAGAGTGAACGCAAACACGGTTATTTGACAAGGTCTTGGTGAATACTATCCGTAATGTGCACGTATCAGCCGAAAAAATTATGCATTCCAGATCCCATAAACACCATTAAATTCACTCAGTTGACCGCTTTTCTAATTTCGTTTATTACTGATAGGCACTACAGTGGAATCCTTTTCATAATGTTTCTAAAATAGGCAGTTAACTTTTCCAGAAATTTCTCCACATGGCTCTTCCCTCGCAGTTAGCTTTCATGCAGGAAATCACTTCTGGGCGGTCGCCTAAAACATCTGAAATTTGTCCTCATAATTTAATTGTAGCCACTGGACCTTCTAACCCAACTTTGCAAAAACGGTTTCACTCCGTCTATTTTGCAACAAGCAATCTAACTTCTCCTTCACTCAGGTCGTAATACATTTTTTTGATTTCCAATGTCTCTGACAGTTGCCGGTCGCCGGCAATTTCTGATTTCCAGGAACAACAAAAGGGGTAGCTATGCCATGACGGCTGTCTCTGAGTCAAACGATGATGACGACGGAAATGGCGAAATGCTGACCGCGTGTGTAAAAATAAATGCCGGAGCTCCCCTGCCAGCACCAGCCCCGCCTAGCCCCGCCTGGCCCCCTCAATAATGGCGGGGCTGGAGGGGGCTATGAGGGGGCTAGGCGGGGCTGTGGAGGGGGCTGTGGCGGGGCATGCAACGCGATAGCCCCGCCTAGCCCCGCCAGCGAAAAAAAATGCGCAGGGGACGTCACATCCCAGCCCACTTTTGGCACCGCTTTAAAATATCGTCCCCATTGTCAAATATACGAATTAATAACACACACAGATTGTAAACCGGTGGACAAATAAGAGTTTAAGCAATGAGGGACTTAAACAAAACCTCAATATATTGTGCTCATCCTCAGCTACATTCAGTGGACGTAAACGGATGCTTTCTCCATGGTTTATAAGCCAATTTTGATAAATTAGCTCCTTTTAATTCCAAAGAAGGTACAATAAGTGGTGCTTTTGGAACATATCTTTCGATGCAAATACGCTTCAAAAGGTTTCAATCCAGAGGGGGCTCTGGCCCCGCCCAGCCCCCTCCAGCCCCGCCTATGAAGGGGCAATGTGCTGGCAGGGTCTCTACCAAACAGGCTTCTCGACCAAAAACGAAATATTGTCATTAAAGGAGCTCCTCAGGCCACTTCTTTGATTGCAAAAGAAAGGATCGAACACGATCTCAACCTCTTTCGAACATATTCAAATTCCGTCCTACAGGACGGCGAATTTGTCACCATGCACAAAGCTTTCCATCTTGGAAACGCAAATGCGTTGCGTTGACTACCAAAGACTCTCAAAATCATTCTTGCAAATGAAGCCCAGGCTTGCCATCTTCTAAAAGGGAAGATGGCTCTTCGTCATTCGCAAAAGGTGTTTTTTCAGTCGGATTACAAACCGACAGAAAGACACAAGAGAGAACTGAAAAAGAGGGCAGAAGAGGGTTAGAAGGGGTTGAAAATAAAGGAAGGCAAGATAATACAGATCAGGCGATCGTTCCTGCGGCTAACTCCCTTTGTAATCAGGTCCGGTTCCCTCCGAGAAGACGGACACTAAAGGTGCTGTAGTCAAATGTGCAGAGCCTGGTTAACACGATGGATGAAATCGGGACTCTGATCCACCAGCACACGCCATATATCATCGCCTTGACAAAAACATGGCTTTCTGAAACTATTGAAGATCATGAAGTATCCCTCAGAGGCTACCAACTGTTTAGAAGAGACAGGAAAAGCCGAGTTGGAAGGTTCGCTGTCTATGTTAGCTACAACCTGACCGCGGTCCCTGAGCAAAATCCAAGAACAGCGAAAGTGGACTTCTTATATCTAACTATCTTCATTAAATACGCCCAGCCGCTGGCGCTGATAGTTGTATATCGTTCCCCAAATCAGATTGCCGAACATGATAGCCTTTCCTTAAGAGAACTGAACAAGACCTGTTCTAACAGAGACGTCCTTGTTGTCGGGGATTTTAACCCCCCCAATATCGACTGGCAAGCCTGGACGGTTTCGGCTCCATCGGACACATTCGGACAACACTTGCTTGAGTTGGCAGTAGAAAAACTACTTTTCCAAAATGTAACTTTCGAAACACGTGTTAGGGAAGGGCAACGTTCAAAGTGCCTCGACCTGGCGCTCACTCAAGATGAGGAGAGTGAGCTGGATATACAAGATGTCCCGCCAATTGGTGCTAGTGATCATATTGTGATACTCTTCGAGTATTCCATGTTCTCCCAACCTGAGTCACCTGAACAATTACAGACAAATATCTGGAAGGAGGATTTTTCCATCATGCGAACGCAAGTTATTGCAATACTGTGGACAACCAAATTGCAGGGAACAGTGATCGAGAACTGGAGCACGTTCACTGATCAAAATAATCGTTAATCTAAACTGTCCACTTTGACGAAAGAAAACAGGCAACCGTCCTCCGTGGATAAATCGGGAACTGAAAACCGCGTTTAAGAGTGTAAATAAATTGTGTAGACTTTATCGAAAAATAGAGAGTCCTGAACACTTGAAGGAATACAAGCGACAGCGAAATGTGTGTAAACGCGAGGCTAGTTGACTTCGAAGGAACTATGAGCTATGCATATTACAAAACTCTTTGGAGCATCCTAAAATCCGCTATGGTTACACACGTAATGGCAAGAGCAATCGTGACCCGATTCCAGCGCCGAGGTCCCAAAACGGAGTTATTGAGACGGATGATCACATGAAAGCATCAGCCTTCTTCAGTTTCTTCCAGTCGGTATTCACTCATGACACAAATCCTTCTCCTGTGCCTTACCTTGACCAACGACAAAATCCTTCCTCTCTTGCATTGGATGACAATATTTACATCCCGCCCACGTTGATAAGGATCGAACTACGCGGGCTGAAGCCTGCCAAATCACCTAGTCCAACTAGAATTCATCCACTTGCCTTTCGAGAATTAACTGACGTACTGTGTGAGCCGGTGTCCATGATATTTTAGAAGTCCTTGGAAGACGGCGAACTGCCGGAGGAATGGAAAACGGCCCATATCTCACTAATCTATAAAGGAGTATACCAGGCTGGAACCCGAAAATTACCGTCCTATTAGTTTAACCTACATTTTGCACAAGATCATGGGACGGCTTATTAAGTGACATTTAATGACGTATCTGGAACAGAGGGACCTATTGTGTGCTGCTCAGCACGGATTTCGTTGTGGTCACTCACGTCTTACAAGCGGTATTCACTTGCAGGAAAAAATGGACAAAAGCAATAAACCAGGGCCGTCCAGTTGATGTCATCTTCTTTGACTTTAAGAATACGTTTGATAGAATTCCTCATGGACGACTCCCACAGAGCATTTGGGAGCGCGGAATACGGGGCAACACTTCTAAGTGGATTAAAAGTTTCCTGTCATGCAGGCTCCAAAAAGTCATCGTTGGAACCACTGCATCCGAATGGGTGCCAGTAAAAAGCGGCGTTCCACAGGGTTCAGTCTTGGGTCCTCTCCTATTCCTCATCTATATAAACGACTGTTCTGTAGATCTTGAATACGATGGTATCATGTTTGCAGATGATATAAAGATCTGGAAAACAATCAGCTGTCTTGACGACTCGCAGAAACTACAGGAAGATGTTAATAAGTTGGCTGCATGGTCCAGCAAAAGGCTTCTAGCGTTTAATGTATCTAAATTTGAAGTCTTGCGCTTAGAATCTGGTCGGAGGTGCTTCCCAAAACACTAGTACACCATAAATGGGGTTCCATTAAAAGAAGTTGACACGCACAAAGACTTAGGTGTTTGGACAAGTTCAAACTTGCTGCCCTCCGATCACTGCAGAGGGGTTGCCCAAAAGGCAACCAGCATCATGCACTGGATTAGGCCTGCCTTCACAATCATTCCTCCCGAACTTTTCTCACAGACATTCGGCACGTTCATCAGACCGCATTTGGAATACGGAATACGGAATATGGGTACCCTGGATGAAGAAAAACAGTGATGCAATATAGTAGGTGCAAAGACGGCCCACAAAACTGGTGGACGGTCTAAGGACTCTGTCATACCCAGAAAGACTGATCCAACAAAACTTGTTCCCCCTATCCTATAGACGAATGGGGTGTGACCTGTTATGGACATTCTGCATTATCCACGGGCATGCATGTTCGCTCAAATCATAAGACTTTTTTGACTTCACGACCATCAGTCGCCTGCGCGGTCATCCGTACAAAGTCAAGCGGGATCGTACACGCCCATAACATCGGACGTTTTCCTTCAGCCAGCGTGTTGTTCGACCGTGGAACTCACTCCCAAGTGAAATAGTGACGTCTGATACAATGGCTGTGTTCAAAAGGCAGCTGGATCGTTTGAATTTTGATAAACGACGTCTCTGACTGGAGGACTATCTGCGGCCAGCCATAAATTTTATTTCCTGATTTCATCCCTACGTAACGCGTCCCTAACGTTTCATGAAACTTTCCCTCGCAAGCTATGCAAATTACAGAATTTTGTGCTGATTGCTTATAACTGCACTTAAAATTTCATATGTAAATTGAAAAGACCGCCTGCCGCACACTTTGCAGTTCCACACTGCTAAACGGTTTTCCTTTAACAAACATGTTCCTGGAAAAGTTTTAGTAAGGTGTGCATTTAACATTTATATTGCATGCACCGTTTTCAGTAGGGTCATCAAGGGCATTATCTATTACCCTAAATATACTGCTATACTACTACTATACACTGCGACCGACAGCAGATGCAGGCCAACTCTTTTCTATGGAACACATCATATGTAGTGTTCGGATCAATGTCAAAAAGTGCTATGTACCTGATGGTGAGGAAAATATATCAGAAAAGTGAGTTTGCAAGCAGTCAGACTTATACTAACGACAGTTGTTCTGCGTAGCTATCGCCCCCAATTTAGTCGTCCTCTAGTCTTAGCCAGAGCTACCCACAGTCTCAGTAATGACACGGCATTGGAGCTAGTTATAAGTTTTTACGAATGTCTCTGGATTCATTATAGGCGATACGGGACAGAAACTTAACCTGGAGTTCCTCACTTCGAGGCCCCAACTCCACCCTATTAAGCAGAAGTTTCATACCCCAACTGAACCCATTTAGCGAGGATAACAGCAGCAGCAGCAACAACAGGAAGGGCAGCATCAAGAACAGCAAAAACAATGAGCTGTCGATGAGTCGCAAAAAGTGAAGATTAAGATCATCATCTAAAACCTACAGACTAAATTTGCGCTCGTCTGAGCAGAACGGATATGTTTACATAGCTCGGCAAGGGTATAGTATGTAACACATTGGAGAAGACCGCAGTTACCCATAACCCTAACACTAACCATGGGCATGCGTTAAACGTGAAGTCACTAGCCCTAAAAGCGTTACCCTAGCCTAAACCCCAAATCCAAACAGCAGCCCAAGCCTGGCAATTCTAGCTCAGAGGACAACCTACCTAACTCAAACCCTATCTTGAGCTCAAATCGGACATCTCTAATGTAGATACCGCTATTGGAGCTCAAGATTCACTTCTTGCATAACCCTATCGCAAGCTACTACCAAACAAGCCGTTAAAACGCGCAACTAACTAAGATAAGAAGGTAGGCATTTGGCGTACCACCTGGGAGGGGGTTGCATACCCTACCCTTGCCATGATGTGAAGTGTCATTCACCCGAAGAGTCCCAAGTTAGCTCAGTAAGATGAGTTTCTAGGTAGTTGTCCTGTTAGCTTTTCCAATGCTTCTCTGACACTAAGAGTGGTGCCGGTTACGTCATAAAAAGGCCTACAGAGTTCGACGTAGGTGAGACTGAATTTTGTTTCCAAACAAACGAGACATGTAATTTTATAAGCGAAAGTTAAGGCGCCATACTCACTTATTCAGATGGAGAAAAGGCTTACATTTGGATTCCGCAGTAAAGTATATACGAACTTTATGGGCCCCAAGTCATTAATGGCGATTGTGTGGGCTTAGAAAATAGAAAGCTAGCCGGACTTCTTACGCATTAAGAAAAGAGGTAAATGGACGGGTAATTTTACCTCTGCGCAAGTCTCCAGGGTAGAAGAGAAGCAGCTACACCACTGCCGGTCTAAACATTATTTTAAGCGTTATAAGGAATAAAATCTTTCATTGAGCGTCGTCAGGGTGTACGTTTTAGGTTTCAAATATCATTGTTCAGTATGAGGCTAGCATTCGTACCAGCCAATAGGGCATCTGTAACCAATGATTTGTCGCCTTTACCAGACATACCAGTATTGGCGCAATGTTTGCCTTCAAGCGACGCACCGTCGTGATTTGACTGTACGGCCGTTCACTACTCGCCTGAGCCGGACAAATGTCAGCTTTGAATGCTGTAAAATCTCACGCAATATACATGAGGCAGGTAGTGTTCATTTCAAGCAGAAAACGTAAACTCCTTGTTATGCCAGACTTTTCATTTTCTCAAAATATCAAACTTACACGGAAGACAGTCATGCACAAATTACAGCGTCATCATGACTGTATAACTACCTGGACGTTGTGGGAACGCGTTCCTGCTCGAAATGTTTACCTCCTAACCGATTGGCTTCAGAAGAAGTGCCTTTTATTTGTTTCCTTCATAGATCAAACTGAACTTTGAATCGGAGAATCAAGCAGGATACATCATGCACAACAACACCAATTCAGATGCAGCAGCGTCCCTGCTCGAATGCTCAGCACATAACCGATTGGCAGCAGATAAAATGCTCTTTTGTTTGTTTCTTTTACAGGACCGAACCGAACTTTGACTTAGTGAATCAACTCGATACCACGAATCCCGAAGCATCAAGCACAACAAAACCGATTCAGCAGCAACAACAGCAAAACCAACAACAACAACTGGAAACAAAACAGAAGACCCAACAACTGCAAGACCCAAAGAAGGAAGAAAAACGAAAACGGAAGAAACAGGAGCGAGAAAACTTAAAAAAACATTGGGCTATCGGTAAATCACAGAACGCTCTTGAATTATACTTTGATGGCGTGAAGCCTAAAATCACCAAAGAACACTTGTTGGCCCACTTCGCGTGTTTCGGGCAAGTGCTCGACGTGTATATGTTAATGGATTACTCGGGCAAGAATCACCGTGGATGGAGCTACATTACACTTCTACCGGCAGGGGATCCGAACCAAATCCTTAAGACGGAGCATGCTATAAATGGAGTGAAGATTAATCTCAGGAGGTGTTATCAATTTTGCGATGGAAAAATGAGACCTATGAAGTGAGTTTTCCCTCATGCCTTTCTAATACTTTAAGGTCCACAACGGAGTGACTTGCATGGGGGATCATTTCGAACGTTTTCAGGCATCCAAAGTCTATGTTATCTTGACCTGAGAAGTTCCCACCGCGGATAGTCTACTTACGCAAATCACTATAAGACAACTTTTAAATTTCAGTCACTTGATGGAACTTTAACAACAGCTGCAGCATCGAAGCGACAAGAATGTACTAAGAGCACCACGATTATCAGACCAAAACTCACCCTGGCTGCCGGTGAAGCTAGAGCCGCTGTTGCTTGCGTCCAGTCGTCCTTGAGATCTAGTGAGATTACAGTGACAGCCTCCTTTTGTAGGCTTGTGTGCCAGTCTGAAATTGTGTCCATTTGGTGTGTTTCGATTTGTCGAGGGGTAGCATTTAAGTGGCTTATGTTGTGGCTGCAGTTGTGCAGCGGCGGGCATGGACAACTCCGATTCTGGACGCACGCACGTCCTAGTTGAAGTCGGTCGAGTTGCTGCAGGTAAGCGCGTCTGGAACCACTGGCCGCGACGGCGAACCGCACGGAGGATTTTTAACTGCGAGCATTCCTCCACTGGTTCAAGATGATTCCACATATATGTAAATTGACTTATGCGAAGGGGGAAACAGAGCCTCACTTAGATAATGGCAGATTAAATAGTCTGACCAGTAGTTGTGGACCTATTTCTCCTCCTTTGGCGAAGTGCACGACGTGCCTCTGTTAATACAATACGCCGTGGCTATTGCGATTCTATGGACAGGGGATCCGACAGAACCCGTCAGGTCGGAACACCTTATACAAGGAGCTAAGGCTGATATTAATGAGCTGTATTTACTCCGCGATGTAAAACGGAAATCAGTGAGATGAGTTTCCAAGGTGCTAAATGGGTTCTCGTTGTGATTGCAATGCCGTAGAGTCTTTACCTTTCGATAAAGCACCCTCTTGTCGAGTCTGTCTTGTTGTTTTGATAACTTATGCCTTCTGCCTCCAGTAGCCTTAGAGATAAGACAGAATTCATGTTAGTCATCACTCAAATGCTAGCATCGGCAGTTATTGTTTTTTGTCCTATCCGTAATGACTTTAGAACCGCTGGAGACAATGATAATCAGAACGTAAATGTGGAACCGCTGCCTTTGAAAGGCCAAGTCAAAGCTGTGAGGTCGAAGGCTCCAATGCCAACCGAACCCGTTACTCAACCGCAAAAACTGCCGGAGCAGCAAAGGGATTTACGAAAACATCAAGCTGCGGACAAATCACAGAAATCTCTCAAATTATTTTTTGATGGTTTAAAGTTACAAATAACCCTACAAGAACTGAAAGCTCATTTTGCGCATTTTGGGGAGGTTTTGGATGTGACAATGTTTATGAATCCTGTAACAAACAGACAGAACGGAAATGGCTACATTACGCTGCGACCGATAGCAGATCGAAGACAAATCCTTGACACGGAACATTTTATACAGGGTTCTCGGATAAATGTTAGAAGTGCAAAATGAATTACTGAGGTGAGTTTTTACGAGATTACGCCAATAGCTTTTTATACCGCACGTTTAATTATACTCTCGGACTCATATAATATATATATATATATATATATATATGTCAGCGTATATTTTAATACTGACAATGTTCTCAAATGAGCTCGCACTAATATTCTGGAACAAAAAATTGTTTGTACTTTCAACCCTCTGAATTGTGCTGATGCTTATACTCTTGGCATTTCTAGCTGGCCACTTACTTTCGATAAGCGTCGTTGATTGGTGATTAATTTTATTTTCCGATTCAGTTAACGCTTTATTTTATCGATAATACAAAAACTGACAAGATGACTTCGCCTATTTCTCTATGCAGACCCTAAATTAATTAAGCATTTGATTAACAGGACTAAGGAAGATAAAGTGCGAATACCTCCATCTTCCGCTGACCTTATCCTATTTAATTCCTGACCAATGTTTAAACGGCTGCCCATGGCTTACACCCAAACAGCACTTAAATTAAACCTTGGGGTCATGCTAGCGGGCATCAGCAGTAACGATACTAGAAGTTGTGCGTGTCATGGTACTGAAAACCAGATAGGGCATCTCATTTTCTATAAAAAAAAATAGCTAGAAGAGGCACAGGGCAACCTTCAAGTGACCCTCCGATCTATCAAAAGCGGTAGGAGCTGACAACGGACACGACTACCTTTTCAGCGGTTCAGGTGTGCGGTATTTAGTGGAGCATCTCCTTATTCATCGCTCTGAAGTAACTACAAAGCTTCCTACTTAGCAACGATTTCAAAAAATCTGTGACGCTCTTCAGAGGGGCATCACTTGAGCATACACTCACCGATTATGCCTTGGACACTCAGGCTGGCTATACCTTGGCCTACAGACGACGCGATGTCGAGTATGGGGATGTCGAGCTTGGACTGAAAGCCGCTCAACCAACCCCTGAACAAAACTGTCCCATTGTACATGGGTCCGGTTTCTGGTTGTTTCATGACTTTGAACGTTTATGTCTTTCCGCGATGACTTTTGCAGGGGTTTTCTTGGGGTGTGTCACTATCATTAGCAATATCATCTGCAGTTATTATTTGTGCCTTTGTCATCTTTTTGTCAACAACCATAGAAGGGAACTGCCGAGTCTTTATTGTAAAATATTTGGTTTGGACTAAGTTTGGTCTAATATGAGAGACGTTAATAGTTAGTGCCTGATTTGACAATACCAGTTCCCCAGTAAGTTTCCTATCCATTATTTTTTATCAAATTCTTGTAGGTTCTCTGTTAATAGACGTCCCACAGTGCCTGTGCATGACGAATTAGAAGACTCAACCAAGTTTTCCTCATTTCCGCAAGTCCTAACCCTTCCGCATCGTTCCACGGAAAAAGGATTCTCGTCTCCTGCTTTTCTTGTGCGAACTTTTTAATAAAACATAAGACGGAACCTTTTTGCTGACAATCCGTAAACTGCGGAGTCCGAGATGTACGCATGTGCATCAGAACACCAGGACAGTGGAAAATGGCGAACTAGAATTGTCTGAAGCCAGGATGATCGACCAGTTTTCTCTTTGGGTAGTAGTAAGTCAATGGGGTTCGCCAGTGTCACTATACATTCTGCCTTCCTGAGGCTATGTTGACTGAGGAGCTCGAAGCAGGTGTGAACAAATTAATGGGTAGCTTTACGTTGGACAGTCATCTCTCACAGGTTCCCACATGCCTCTCTGCGACGCAAAAAGGGTATGCCTTTTTATATTCAAAGCTGTCATCTGAAACAAAGCTGTTTCTGTATTCGCGCAACATGGTTTTCCGTTTACTTATCGTTCTATCTGAGTAAGCGCTTGTGTATCCGGTGTACGAAACGGCATATTCAGAAGCTACCTACCCAAAAGACTTAGTTGGCAACTGGTACTTCGGTATGGCTGACTTATATGGGCACCTTAACAGGACATGCAATACGGGAGGATCCAAACCGCCTTCCTGCGAAATAAGGTTAAATTTAGAGTTAGGTTTAAAGGTAACGCCAAGACAGGTCACGATCAACTGAAGGTTTTGGGTATGGTCTAGGGCTAACGGCAGAGTTAAGGTTTAGGATAGGGTACATTTTATGATTAGGGTAACGATGTAGTTCCATATACTTGGGTTATTGTTGGGCCTAGGGCACGGAATATTTTATCGATTCCGGAATTATGCGCATTTCAACTTTTATTAATTGAGTTGTGCCTTCTTGGGCTAGATCGCATTTGATAGCCAGGAATCGGGAAGCGGACGGCGACCTTAACCCTAATCCTAACCTTAACCATAACCTCAAACTTAAACATTAACCGCTAACTTTAACGACAACCCTAACCCTAACCGAAATCGTAAACGGAAGCATAGCCCTTAGACATAGCCGTAACTGAAAAACCTAACCGTAATACTGAAACCTAATCGTACGCTCAAACCCTAACCGTAACCCGCAGAAACCTAAGCCTAAAGGCATAACCCTAACCCGAAAATCGGAAACCACTAACCGGTACCCTAATCAAACTTAAAACGGAAGCCAAAGGGGTCAGATGCGATTATGAAACCCCACAAAATAACCCCAGTAAACAAACCCCCCAGCCACCTGTAATATGGGGCCTGGCTACCAACTGCAATCTAGCCCCTTCTTGTTCCATGTCCTGTTTAAATGGCCATATAAGTCAGTCCTGCCAATAATTCTTTTGTGACCGCCGCTTGATGTCCATTAGTCAGCCGCGACCGCGGTCTTCTCACGCCTTGGGGTATTCCTACTGAAGTGCGCTGCACCCAGGTCGCACCGGACTGTCTGTCGGAGACGACAGGGAATGAAATTGACTGAACGTGGTGTCGGGACTAGAATAAACCGACGTGTCGAGAAGAAAATCTTTCAGTTCCCACAGTGGTTCGAGGCGTTATGCCGAGGGTGGGGCTCTGTACCTGTCCCCGGGCATTGAATAAATCCGAATTTCGTTAACATAGATCGCCAACAACACGTGTTGACAACAGAAATCTGGTGATCCCCTTACTTACACAAAAATGGGCAGCCTACACGCCACTCTCTGTGATATCAAAATTAGGGAGATGGACACGTGTGCTGCCGCCGATCCAACAATTTTTTGTGCTGTATAAAGAACAGTACGCCATCTTTTGTCGTCAAGATGTAGTTTTTACGTCTTGGATGTCTAACCGATGTGGGAAAATATGTTGCGCTGTTCTGTGAGGCACCACCTACCTATGGGTTTTTCGTTTTAGCGATATTCCTGTCTCCGGGCATCGATGTTTATTCTCTCATAGGATCGCTAAATTGATCTCAAACATAATGCTTAGATTGTTGGTGGACCCTGTTATTGACGTGTTTCTTGAATGTAAATATGTTAGTCATACCTTAGTTTTCTATCTTTGAATTTACCTTTAATGTCTTATTACCACGCATAGCATCATTTTCAATCTTAGTGTGCACTTTTCCCGCTAAAATTTTGTCAAAAATACATAACAGGATATGTTGGTCATGGTTCACAAAGTAGTAACTCGGAAAAATCACCCTCGTTAGAATTGACATCCTGCGAAAATGGGAAACTCTTGTTGTTTACCCTAGACTGCAAGTTCAAAATGAAACATCGTTAATTAACGTCCACCCTACTCTTCATTAATGGATCCTTACAGACCATCTGCTACTGAGCACCAACATGATGATTGTATAGGAGGTCACGGATTTAGTCAGTGCATCTTTGTTGTGTCCTGATTCTAACATTTCCACAATAGTTCTCAGAGAATGGACGTTAGTTTTCTGCGTTTGTTGTGTGGACCGTTTAACAAAACATCCGACCGGAACCCTTATGGTGACGATTCGGAAGGCGCCTCCAGTACTACGAGGTGCATTTATTATTAAGAGTCCATAAGAACACCAACATTGATCAGAAGAAGAAGCGATCGCTGGAACAATGGCTTTATTCGCCTGACGTTTCGGATTCTCTCTTGAATCCATCATCAGAGACAGTTGCAGAAAAGGGTGGCTAGTGTACAGGCAGTCGCAGTATTTATAGGATGCG